AAAAAAAACTAGAAAACTAAGAAAAACATAAGACGTAAAACTTAAAAGAAAGCTTAACAAACCCAAGACTGTGTCACTTAATTTATTGAACAGTATGTAATAATTTCATATTTAAAATACTTTCCGAAGTTTGAATTCTGAATATGACCGGACTTTTCCTTTAAGCACGACTGAACGACCAAGCACTCTCTGTACCCCTAAGAGTTAAAGTCAATTAAACCTGCATTAAACACACAGGATTGTGTGATGACTCCTGGGTAGGTGTGGATCCCAAATTTTATTTATTTAGAAAAAAGATCTGTTAACGAGTTTGTTTTCAACAGTGCTGCATTGCAGGTTTGATTGAAACAATTTTATTATTAAGAATATCTAGAAAATGTTTGTGGTGACTCCTCTCTAATGTGTTCCTTACATGCGCAGCATCCATCCATCCCCATCACAGCTCACCCCATCCCTCTGATGGACTCTAGCCTCTCTGACATCTGCTCACCTCAAAGCAACAGACCCAAACTAACCAACGACCCGCCGAGCCATCCATGTTCACTCTCTCTGACTTTTATTTTTTCTTATCTGAGTTTGCTGGGCGGAGAAAAAATTGAGAGGTTTTACCAGCCCTGAGGAAAAACAGAGAGGTGTGTTCCCTACAGCTGTGATTTGAACTGGAGGCCAGTGGATAAAGACTCCTCTGTTTCTGCTGGCAAGAAAAGCAGAATATTAAACCAAACCCTGCAGACCATAAAAATAAGTTCTTAACTTTTGGTTGTATATCCTGCCTTTCTGTGTGGGGGGGTGATGGGGAGAACCTTTGTCCAAAGCTAATCAGCTATAGGAAATACACTCCTGCACTTTATCCAGAGAACACAAGAGGGCGCTAACAGGAGATGTCTGCCATTAGTTCATCTGCAGATGGAAAAAATAATTTATTTTCAGATTGTTAACAGATTAAACTTTGGAGATCTGCAAGAACAACAAAAAATAGCGTCAGAGAGCAGTTATTTATGCTCACTGTTTAATATTACCGTGATTTCCGGATTGTAAGCCGTCGCATTTTGAATAACGCAGTTTATATTATGGTGAGGTTTTAATTTGGATTTTTTCCCTATCTGCCATGAAGGGGGGATCAAAGAAATAAGGGGCTAATTTTTATGTATGTAAAAATGTAAATCCCTTTATTGTCCCCAATGGGGAAATGCGATATTTTCAATCGTTGCTCGCAGCTACAGCTCAAACTGTACAACGAAACCACAGGGTTTAAAAGTTCACCGCTCACGATGCATCTTCTCACACTGTGCGATCCGACACTCTCATGCGATGTTACGACGGCGACTGAATTTCAAACACGTTTCGTTTTCTCCCGACCTTACGATTCCTGATCGGGAGGAGGTCGTGTGATCGCCCCTCACGATCTGCCCGATCGAAAAATTCTCTTGCGACTAGAGAATCGGCCCGAAAAGGGCAAAAAATCGTACAGTGTACGCCCGGTTTAAGGATCCACTAGCTCCTTAGCCTCGTGAGACCATCCTGATCTCGCGAGCTTTCAAGGTTTCACTCGCAGATCAGTCTGGAGACTCTCCGTTAAAGAAAATTCGGAGCCGTTCACCAAACGAACGTCCAATCAGCGTTGGCTTTGAGGCGGGT